TCTGCTGCTGACAGCCCTTATGCAATGTCAATAGACTATTAGCGCAATGAGCGCCTTTGTATGCTTTTGAATACATGGTAAGTAAATAATTCCTAGGCTCCGTCTTACGAGCTTTTGATAATGTGACCATTTTCGTCCCGTGGTTTCCGTGTCCACCCTGTCGAGAATAGTTTGCCCATTTCAAATCGGGGAAAGGGGTGAGCCTCCGTGTTGATGACGACCTTGTCGAGCGGAAGGAGTTCGTTGGGGGAAAACAAGAGGTAAAAGTACTTCAGTGTCTCAGCCTATATTGTCGTTAGCCTGCCAGGCTCACAAAATCAAATGTGGAGAGTATATACATATACTCTCCATCCCTTTACTCACCAGCCAGAAGCTTTCCATATTGTCGCGGGTTGTCGGCGGAATCTCATTCGCGTTGGATAAGCTGGTGAAACCGCCTCCGTCCTCGACAGCAGTGTAATTCATGAAGGACTTGAACATCTCCCAGCCCCAATCGCGATACTTGCGCTCACCTGTGATTCTCCACATATAGAAGAGCGACTCAACCGTCTCAGGCCGTTGCAAGTTGTGTCGATCCATGCTGTGGACATCAAAATCCTTTCGCCAGGTGGCATGAGGGTCCGAGCTAAACTCATCCGACGGCGAGACATGTGACGTAGACTCGGTCGCCGGTGGGTCAGCAATATTGAAGTAGGTGATTTCTGCAGCGAGGCCCGTGGCCATCCATTTATACATTCCCCAGCAGGTTTGCATAAGCTCTCGCGCCAGCTTCATGTCAGCCTCATTCTGCTTGGTCCAGCCTGGTAGCTTCTTTGCCTCAGCTTCCGATAAACCGCCGGTTGCGGCCAATGCAATGGTACCGGGCATGAAACAGACCAGGTGGTCCATCTTTGGCGAGAGTTTGCCATGCAAGCCACTGGGTCGCTCGCCGATGATTGTGAACCCTGAAGGCTCCGTGTAGGTAATCAGGTGCTTCCGAACGCCCTTCAATGTATCCTGCCACATATCCAGATATACGGGCTCTGCCTTTTCTGTCTGGAGGTACTGCTTGATCAGATATTCGTAGTATGAATCGCCGCGGCTTCCCAGCCGTATGTTGTCTCCGTTGAAATGGCCAGTGTCAGCATTGATATAAATAGGCACCAATCCGTCCTTGGCTCCATTGTCGTCAACAACCTGCATGACCTTTTCTGCCTTGTCCCAGAAGTACTTCTCTCCCGTTAACTTGGCCAGGTACTTGAACTCCAGCTGCAGTGTCGTGGCCTCGGCTGTGGATGAGGCTCCGCCAACATCGTGCGCTGGGATGCCCTCGAATTTGGCCAAGTTCACACTCGCATACGGAATACCAGACTCGCTATCAAAGGCAGAAATGACGCGATCCGCGAGGTCCTTGGCCTTTTCCAGGTACAGGTCCTCTCCAGCAGCGCCGGGATCGTCATCTGCTTGAGGTGCCAGTTGCGGAAACTCATTGGAGAGATAATGGGCGGATAATAGGCCACCAATCATTCGAATCGTTGTTTCGAATGTGTTCACGTCCTGGTCTTGATCGTAGGACAAGGACTTGGAAATCCAGTCGCGTGCCTGACCTACCCGCGAAGTGAGGTTCATGAGCATCATGGTATCCAGGGCATCCACAATGATCCAGCCCATTCCGTTCGGGGCCATCTGTTTTCCCTTTTTCGAGATTGGATGAAACTCATCGTACCCTAGAAACCAAAAGATTAGTGTCAGGAACAAAGCTGGTCCCATCCTGAATGGAAACGCCTGGGTCGCGTGGCCTTACCCCATGCATATCGATGGTAAGCATCCCAGCTGAGCTCGAAAGCTTCTACAACTCGCTCCCTCCGCTGAGACCAGTCTGCCTGCCGCTCGGGTTCTGAGCTCTTCAGCCAGCTCCACGATGGTTTCTTGGTGTGAGCGTCATGGCCTGAGGAGAAGGCGCCAAAGTAGTATAACACTACGAGGATGAAAAAGACAACACCGACGGCCCTCTTGCGCCGCCATAGGGCACGCGAGCGCTGAGAGGGAGGATATGCGTATGGCTTGTCCTTGTACATGGGGAGGCTCTGATTCTTATTACCAAAGCGAGAAAAAGACGAAGACGTGCCCGAACCCCATGACTGGTCCTCGAGGGTCCTCTGAGGATTCGAGAAGGAGGGCACGTTCTTGGGAAGCTGGAACGACATTTCTTCGGCGGTCTTCTTGCCCTGTTCTATCGCATTGATGCCAGCCTCGACCGCCTTCTCAGTGATATCACGGGCGGCGCGTGTAGCCGTGGTCCGCAGAATTGAAATGGCTGAGCCTTTCTTGTGAATATTGAAAGGATCCCGTACCACCATTCTACGACGCCCCTATACTAGAGCGAGTAGCCACGTCGGACAGAGATTGCTTCCTAGTTTGGGATTCGATGGGTGTCTTTTGTCCGTTCGATTCGGTCGGTGGTGATTCGCCTCGAGGATTCGGAGGACCAAGTAACCGGGGAGATACCTAGGGACTAATGTAGGTAGGAGGATATGCAATGTAGCTATGTGGTAGCTCTCTTCTTTCTCTCCCTCTCCTTGTCTCTTTCTCTCTTCCTCCCTCTCTCTCGACAAGGCGCGGCGCTGCTAGGGAGGAAGAAATGAAGCTTATACAACAAAAAGTCTTTAAGTAGAGTGCTGAATAGACCATGTACAGAGTGAATTGGAAGAGGATTAGAGGGTCTGTTTTCTCTGTTTTCTATCGTGACATCGTAATCATCAAGAACAAAAACAACGACGACGGCGACGACGAAGACGACGGCAGCGTCAACAAGGGGCGGCCAGCGACAACGTATGGATGGCGAATGGAATTGACCATTCTTCTTCCTGGGATGAGATGGGAATATTATGGGGACAGCAGGCGACTTGTTCCCTAGTACGTATTGTTAGGCCAGGTACACCCAAAGTTGCGAGCTGTTCATAATAATATTTAGCGTTCTGTGTCTCTGGGCCTTGCACCCTTCGTGTTCCAGAAGACAGGATCCACGTACTAGGTAGGTAGGTAGGTAGGTAGGTAGGTAGCCCGTAGGTACAATAGGGACCAAGGGACCACGTAAAGGACAGCTGGAGTTTTTGGGCTATCGAGTCTTGGCGGCGCCGCCTGGTAGTGGAAACTCTCTGCTGGCTGTGAGTAGGAAGTACCTCTCCACGTGTTTCGGCCAAGATAGGTACATGGGTTAGGGTGACCGGGACCCCTCTATCGGCAATGGCGGCCTTGCAGATCTCCGGTCCTAAAAACAGATGCAAGCAGCCCAGATTACATGCACACCTGAGTTTCTTTTGGTTGTGTCCATGCATGCATCCAATATTGCCCATGACACAGTAATGTTGTACTTGAAGAATGGCAGAGGGTTCATACTCATGGTGATTCCTTAAACTCGAGTGACACATCAGAGGTATGCAGAAAGACCTGTATTTTTCTTTTTCACGTGAGCTCAACTAAATGTATTGGCGTAGGCAGAGACTCAGAGTACTACTATCATCACTTATCGTCGACGTGGCCGACCTAAACGGCTAGCTGATGTAAGGGGTTCTTCTTACTTTAGAGGTAGTCGTGAAAGAGAGAGGAAGTACGATAGGGCAGTAGTGCTGCGAACCAACGTGCTCTGGTCTGCCCGATATTGTCCGTACCTCTTCAACACCAGCGCCGTCATTGCAGCATCACAACCTAAACTCTCAACTGCTCTCGCTTTTAATATCATATAAGCCAACCACCGGGTCACTGCAGATTGTCCGGCATAGGATGCTTTGCGACAATGAATCGCTCAGCGTATCACAACTACCCTTTCCTTAGCATAGAAGAGTTTGCCGAGGTCTGTCACCACCTCGACAACAGATACTGCCAGGCCACCTTGGGTCCCGTCCGCAAACAATGGAAACTTCGGCTTCATAAAGCGCTGGATATGGTCTTTGGCTCTGACTCGGGATATACTACGTTCGTACAGATCACGCGACCTCTCGAAGAAACCGGAGACCTTGACGAACTGGAATCATTCTTGGATAGTTTCTCCATCGGCGCAAAACCTCGAGGCGATCAGATCCTATCTATGCAGGTTGACGAAGACCCTGAAGAGCTAGTCAAGCAGCCGTCACAGCCCAGGATCGGTCACGTCAAATATGAAATCCATCTCCACCCAACCTACCAGGCCCCGTGCCTGTGGTTCAGCCTACATGACCTGCCCGCAGACGAAGTAGCTTTTGACATTGACACCGTCTTCCGTCGACTGGTACCAGACCAGTTCAAAAGTACCCTTCGTGGTGCTGGCCCTATAGGAGGTATCTCAGCTGACGTGAGTTTTATTCACCTCTTTCTCTCTTTCCGATGGAGCTGTATCAAAGAGTCAACAATGCATCCCATATTCGGCAGGAATGAGTATATTAGCTCTACCTCGGCAGCTAACATGAGTTCATAGCATCATCCCATCACGGGTGTGCCGGCATTCTTCGTCCACCCTTGTCTTCTCGGCGACGCAATGGCTGGCTTCGACTGCGCAAAGCAGGATTATCTCATGGTCTGGCTAGGTCTGGTGGGCGGCTGCATCGGGCTTTGGGTGCCCAAGGAAATGGCACTCTTGAGTCAAGCGCCTCAATATCCAGGAGCAGCCACATGAGAAGCAGCAATAGACCCAACATTGAGACCATTCCTCTTTTCTTTCTTTCTTTCTCTCTGTCTTTGTGCCACATGTAGGCGCTTCACTCGTCGTCACTGTCACTCTCTTCCTCCATGGCAACGTCGCTGTCGCTATCTTCCTCTTCATCCTCATCATCTCGGGCCCTCTTTTGGCCTCGAGCTTCTTCGGTGGACGAATCTGCAGGTGGAGCAGCCGGCGGTTTTGCCGGGAGTCCACGAGAGGCCGATGGAACCGTCGCAGCAGTCGTTCCGGGGGCAGGTGCATTAAAGATGCTTTGTTGAGTCGCCGTCATCTCGACGTTGGTCTCGGCGCCACCCTTTTCGGGAATATTATAGGTGCCGTCAAGTTTAGAGATGACATCTGATTTGCCCCTGGCGTATTGTATCCTCTAATAGACAATCATTGGTCAGTGTCGAGCCGATATTGGGGCATTGAGGAGCACGCTCACCAGTGGTTGTCCCAAGAACACGAAGCCCTCGAGTGAGCGCATGGCTTGCGTAGCCGCTTGAAGGTCGCGAAAGACGACATGAGCTTGACCGCGCATTTTGGCGGTTTTCATGCAGACAACATCGAGAACGGGGCCGTACGTGGAAAAGAGCATGTAGAGGGCAGTCTTCAGGTCAGCCTTTTGAATCTTGGACGACGGCACGTTCGACACATAGAGGCTAGAGCATATGATTCAGCATGGAAATAATTGTAGAGAGAACTGGCTAGAGAAAAGGGCATTCCAGCTTACGTTTGGTTTGGCGGCACAGGAGCTGGCTTGCCTTGGGGTGCCTTTGCTGGGGGCTGTCGCGTCGACATGGTGAGTTTGCTAGGATGCCACCGTAGAATAGGCCGTAGACTTGTTGCTACCAATGTCGAGAGCTTTCAAAACTGGTGTATGAAGGCGGGCGAATTTCGTGTGTCGTCGATTTTGGCGCTGGGTATTGCAGTACGAGATCGTGTTGGAGCTCACGCCCGAGCTTTTGGGAGGCTTTTCGGGTGGTAGTCACAAAGCCACCCAATTCGCCGGTCCTAAAGGTTATCGATTGGCAGACGCCAGACCATTCCGAGACTTCCTGTACCTAAAGCCTTGTGAGCTGGGCGGCAGGCGGCTCGAGCAGTGACGGCAACTCCCCGCAGGAACCCCACCAAAGCCAAAGGTACGTACACTTATCATAGTAGCTGTGACGACTGCTAGGAATCCATCTGCCTACCACCTAGGTATCCCCCCCCCTTTCATCAATGTTCATTACAACCTCTCCAACATAGCAACTTGTGGTTGGTGATAGTAGAGAGCTACTCCTATCGCCCCCATCGAAACAGATCACTCAACATGGCATCTCCCGAAGTCCACCACCTCTTCCACCACCCCGTGGCCGACCACTCCTTCTCTGCCGACCGCAAGATCCTCGCCGTTGCCAAGGATTCCGCCATTGAATTGTACGGAAAGGTCGGCGGCGCTTTCAAGCTCAAGGATGAATTGAAGGGCCACGACAAGACCATCACTGGCGTCGACATTGCGCCCAACAGTGGTCGTATTGTAACATGCTCCCAGGGTTTGTTTCTCCTGCCGACTGAAGAAGCTATTGGGCATTGCCTCACAGCCACCCCTCACCAGCACCAGCGTCTGACTTGAAGTTGCAGATCGTAACGCTCTAGTTTGGGAGCCCTCCCCGACCGGTTACAAACCCACCTTGGTTCTACTCCGCATTGCAAGAGCTGCTACATGCGTACGTTGGTCGCCGTCCGAGACAAAGTTCGCCGTCGGCTCTGGTGACCGGGTCATCGCCATCTGCTACTTTGAGGAGGAGAACGACTGGTGGGTATCCAAGCATCTGAAGAAACCAATTCGCAGCACCATTACCAGCGTTTCTTGGCACCCCAACTCAGTCTTGTTGGCTGCCGGCTCGACTGATGCTCACGCGCGAGTCTTCTCGGCATTCATCAAGGGTGTTGATGCCCGTCCAGAGCCCAGTGCTTGGGGCGAGCGTCTACCCTTCAACACCGTGTGCGGCGAGTTTCTCAACAATTCCGCCGGATGGGTCCATTCAGTTGCCTTCTCCCCATCTGGTAACGCACTCGCATTTGCTGCTCATGATAGCAGCATCACTGTCGTGTATCCGTCTGCCCCCGACCAGCCGCCCAGCGCAGTCATCAGCGTAAACACGCAATTACTCCCCTTCCAGAGCCTCATCTGGAATGGAGAGGCTGAGATCATCGCTGCTGGTTATGATTGCGAGGCTTTCAGATTCAAGGGGGATGGCTCTGGCTGGCAGATTGCCGGTACTCTGGAATCCAAGGGACGCCCCGGCTTGGGCGATGCTCGAGAAGAGTCTGCCTTGAACATGTTCAAACAAATGGATCTGAAAGGCAAAGTCAAAGACGACACTCAGCTTAAGACAGTTCACCAGAACACTATTTCCACCATCCGTGTCTACGAATCCGATGGTAGTTCTGTAACCAAGTTTAGCAGTAAGTTTCATCCTTGTTCTCAGGTTCCACATCGTCTCAGTAGCTAACATGGTCTGTAGCGAGTGGTGTTGACGGAAGGGTAGTCATCTGGGATGCTTAGGTTCCAGTTCGCACTTATACCTCAAATCGAGACAAGCATTCAAACCACTCCATTCCTGCCTGCCTTGTGTGTCTTAGTGATGTGGACCGTTCTGAAGCGCTCTTTAAACCTCCATGTTACTCTTTAACTTTAACCTTCCACCTTTTTTTTTTTTCCTACAAGAACAACCAGATATTGCCTCGATTGCACAAGCTAAAGTAACATCTTTCCACATACTGTCATACAGAAGACCTATCTTCGGCAGTTTCTGAAAATGCCTCCAAATACATCGCCGAGTGATTTCATCTATCAGCGTCCACTCTGCTCGAGTTCTGCTGCGATTGAAGTCAGTACCTCTATAAATGAAGATGAAGAGAATGGCCGCGCGATTCATAGAGCTGGCTACATGAGCAATTCTTCGACGTATGGAGCACGCGTGACGACTGCGCAATATCACGAGACCCTAGCATATGGAGACACTCCATGTCCAGCTCCGGTGTTTCTTCATGATGTCCGCCAACAACGATTGGAAAACTCGCATGGTTTTGGTGCCTCACACACTGGGGGTTCACCAAACTTCGAACCAGCCGCTGCCAGTGTGCTGCCACAGTTTAAACAAGCGAGCTACCATCATACGCTCGAGGACACCGCCGAACGTAGCGAGAACAGACGGATCTCCCTGGCCACGGAGAGTACCCTCGGTCACCGCACCTTCAGTATATACAGCAATGCCTCGGGGAATTTTGAGCAATTCTGTGACGCCCTCAATGTCGTTCATGATATTTGTCTTGCTGCCACCAGGGCGCATCTTGGCTCACATCATGCGAACAGACAAGCGCGTGCTAGCTATTCGGGCGACGCTGGTCATCATCGCGAGTCTGACAATCCTATCACAGTCACTGACAATGAATACAAACAGCCCAGCGTGGCTGAAGGCCTGTATCATGGCCCAACGACGTCGAGTCATGCTCACCCAGTTCCAGCTCTGAACAGTGAGCAAGCCACAATACCCAACGTCTCGAGCTCTCTTCTCAAGAATATATCTAGCATATGCAACATGCTTTGGGCTGGATCACAACGTGATCGTTTGACTGTTCTCAACGTCGAGCGGCTGGCCGTGGATAACATGGCCAAATTGCTGTCATGGGGTGAGACGGTGGCTCTACATGACTCTGACGAGAGGGCGCTCGGCAATTATGAAACCTTACATCGCGCCCTAGATGCCGGGAAAAATCTATGTGCTTGGCTGGGCGCTCATGAGTCAGTACTAGAGATGGAAGAACTGGAACGAGCTTGGGTCTATGCGTCAGGACTGTTGTAAGAGGAGGAAAGCATGTTGATCAGTAGGTGCAATCCTGATAGCCAATCAACCAGGGGTAACCTGGGAGCTGCATAAGGAATCAGTCATTGTTCAACTTGTCAGCGAAACGATGGACAAATACACGACATGCTTATCCTACGTACCTACATATAACTTAGGGGTATACAAAGAGGCCCAACGTTCAGCAATCATCCCAGCAAGGCTGTGCCCATGCAGCGTGTTTCCACTTTAATGCACGTACGAGTTGCTTATATTGCCATTTCCACGGTGTCCTCGGTAAGCTTTGAAAAGTCTTCTGCTATGTCATGATCGAGATGCTCCAGCAAGTTTTCTGGCGTAAATATGCAGCACTATATCCCTAGATAGAAACAGCAAATTCTGGAAACTTTCGAAAGAGGTAGACCAGATCCGACTAAGGTATAAACTAGATCGCCTTATTGTTTAGTGTGATGCTAGAGTAAGGCTGGAGTTGCTACATAAGCTGGGTTCTTGAAGTCTACCGCATCGGACCCAAAAAAAAAAAAAAAGGGCGCCTCTTGGATGTGAATCACTCTCAATGGCTTTGAGCGAAATAAGATTCTCTCTACATCTTGAATCTGGCAATTAACGTAACCATATTTCGTATTCAATGAGGGACCTGGACTAGTGAGTATCAGCGGTACCTCCTTTGCTCCTCGTCCAGAGGTCCAGACTCAATACTATGGACGATTAGCTCGTGCTACCTATTATGCTGTTCCACTCTTCCCATCCAAAGGGGCGCGCGGGTGAGGGCGGATAATAATAAAACTTACCGCAAGAGCCGCAGAATTGGGCTACAGAAGAGGCACCACAATTCTGGGCTATGTGTTACTGATGGTATAAGTACTTTTGAATTCCATGCTTGCGAACGGAACATGAGGGGAGCGTCGGACGTACTAAATTCGACAGTCATGGTTTGTTGAATTTGAAAGGTCAATTTGTGCAGTTAAACGTTTGGTCAACTCGCCTATCATCTTGAAATTGATATTCATCTTTACCCACTGAACAAACCAGCTCCATACGCGACGACAACAGGCAAGCAAGCAAGCCGAGAGCTCAAAAGCCCGGGCGATTCACAGCCAGCGACAAAGTCACCATGACATAGTCAAATTGTACTGCAGAGCACAGACAACGACACAATGAAGAATTGCACGTGCTACTCAGCGGCTCCCCTCAGGCTGGTAGGCAGCAAGCTCGCCTCGGCAAGCAAGCACATCACGAGGTCAATCAGAAGGGCTGCAAGCAAGTCCAGGCAGCGGACTTCATCGTGGCTGCGCCGTGGCTTCCGAGCAAAGTTTCAACGAAGCGAGCATGGTTATTTGGATTGCGGCATGGAAGATATATCCCTCGGGCGGCAGCGGCGGCGGCGGCGATACAATATCGAGATGGCTAGGCGGAGAGAACGGCTGGATGCTTTACTCGAGATCATCATGCAGGAAGAGAGAGAGCGAGACCGCCTGGAGCGATGGGGTCCAGTGAATTTGGGGGGGTTCATGTGAATGATTTACGAATCTCAGGCGTCCGGCGTTCTCTTGAGGCTTTACGATGTTGAGAGCCCACGATGTTTCTGGTTGAGCCTTGCGCCAGTTTATGGAATGCTGCCATTTTCTGATATCACGTTGAGATGTGCTTGACATGACTATATAGCAAACAGACGCAAACCGCGGTCACAGCTCTTGCAAAGGGGCGTGAATGCTCCTAGTACCAGCGGGGCATTGGCAGAACAATGATAGGGAATGGCATCATTTCCCACGGAAAGTGAGAGAACAAGTTCAAAATGCTTGATAAGCTGAGGACTTGATGAGTCATTACCATGGCTCGTGCCAAGATCCGGGCAGATTCAACACGAGTACAACCTATAAGGTATCTGGGAACAAAATAAAACTTATATACACAAAGTATCTAAATAGTACAACGCCAGGCTGATTGCCTCAAGCCTTATCTGAAGATACGGATCCGACAGATAGATGGAAATAACAACTCAAATCATACAAAGTAAAACCATGCACTCTCAGAAACTCAGAAAAAAATATTCAATTGCAAATGACTGGACAAGATGGCGGATTCAGCATTTGGGCTGAAGTCGGTCTTGTACCGCGTATACTCTTGGCTACTGGTTCGGCCAGTGCCAGCCCAGCATCGATCTTCCTCTGCAAATATCTGGATCTTGCCGGGGTGTTGAATGCTCAAGTACCTTGGGTGACACAAAACCCTCCTCCCCTCCAAAAATTCCAGTCCAAAAAAAAGAGAAGAAGTTGTACTAACTACATATGCCGTTATTACTGGACATCTAAGTTTAGAACAGTTGCGTGCGTGTCACATTGCAAGTGGCACGTAACACAAAAAAAAAAAAAAAAAAAAAAAAAAGAAAAGAATCAAAGAACTACGTGCCCCAGGAATTCTTTGATTGTTGCATGTTGGCCAGGTAAGTGGATGGATACATAGTAGATAGACAGATATCTACGTAGTCACAATGGAGCCTTGTCGTTGCACTTGAGCCACTCCGTACATAACGCAGATCCGCACTTGCGTATGCGTTTGGGGTGAGTAAAGTTGCCAGGTGCTTGTTTGGCTGACATGGCACCGAGAGAGATAAATGGAAGAAATTGGATATCTGATACTGTGGTCTGTTTGCCTGGGCCCTGCATGCCTACCTATCTGCTCACATTAATCTACACAGTACGTACTCTGTAGGGTATCGCGTCTGCCAGCCGTGCTGCACACTCGATCGGTGGCCACTTACTTGTGCGGCGCAAAAGCTGAGACTGGCTGATGTGAATTCATGACACTTGTCGCGCTTTCGGATTTGAACCTCCTGCAAGGGCTGGCCAATGAATCACAGACGCTATTCGTTTGCTGTAGCTACCCACTTTTCAGCAGTACGTAACGAACTAAGGCAGAACCCAGCTTACCTGCATACTATGTACCTAGGAAAGTACATTACCTATCTTTAGGTACCTCACCAGCATCTAGTTAGTGTGCAGTCTGCCACATTTGCAACGCGTGCTCAGGCTGACTTGTCAACACCTTGCCAACGTGAATGTCATTTTTTATCGAGAAGCGAAAGCTGAATACACCTCTAGACTCTTCCATCACTCACCTGGCCGACGATTTTTGACTTGGCGTTTCGGCTTTCCTACACAGTAGCTTAAACTCGCCTCCAACTCCCCGGCATCGACTGTACCGTGCCCTGTGCATTAGCCTGAAGAGCTGCCTGACGCACTTCCGTCGCCTCCCCCAGCTCGGCTTCAGCTCAGTTGCAGTTTGCAGTTCAATTCTACCTCTATCGAAAGCTCCGGAAGCCTCACTCCAAAAAAAAACAACAACCCCTCGTTACTTGACATGATCCATCAATCGCCGACCGCTGGACCGAGACCATGATGAGGCCGGACATAATAGCTTTGCCGGCCTCATGGCCCAAGCAGCTATTTGCCCTCACCCTGCTTTGGCAGCTCTTCCTCCTCCCCGCCGTTGACGCCAAAGCCGATCCCAACATCGTCGTTACCGACTTCGACCACTATCCCTTCAACCTCAACTACTTTCCCGATTCCGATGTTGTCCTCTTCCAGGACCAGAGTGCCGGCGTTGTCTGGCGCTCTGCTGATGCTGGTGCTAGCTGGGCCAAGGTCGATGGCGTTGACGAGGGCAAGGCTGCCACCCTCATTATGCACCAGTACGACCCGACTCGCGCCTACATCTTGACAGAGGGCATGTATCACTGGCGTACTGAAGATCGCGGCAAGACCTGGTCTACCTTCTTCACCGATGCTGAGCTCGACATCTTTCATCGGGGCGAGTGGCTGACCTTCCATGCTTCCGACCCGGATAAGATCATGTTCTACGGCCTAGACTGGAACAGTGGCTACTATGACGAGGTTATCATGTACACAACCGATGGTTTTGCGACCGATGCCAAACTTCTTCGTGGCAATACTGTTGGCTGTTGGTGGGCCAAGTCATCTGAGCTGTTCACAACGGGCGACGAGAGAAAAGACAGTAGCCGTGCGCTCTGCATTGTCCGTGGCGACTGGTCTTCCCACAAGGAGGATTACCGACTGCTGATATCAGACAACTACTTCAGCGCCGAGAGCTCTGATGGCGTCATTCAGGAAGAAGAGCCCAAGCTCAATGGCTATGCAGCTGTGCAGGGTGTCATCAACATCGCCGCCGTCAAAAAGTACATACTCGTGGCAACGGCATCCAAATATACCGACGAGATGGCCCTGTACGTGACCGACGACACCAAACGCTGGCATCGCGCAGTCTTTCCTAGCGATCACCGTATCAATCAGCAGGCCTACACTGTCTTGGAGGGTACCAACTATAGCGTGCAGATTGATGTCATGAATGGACGACCTTCCAACCCTACCGGTGTTTTGCTGACCAGCAACTCCAATGGTACATACTTTACTCAAGCTGCCGAGCACATTAACCAGAACGGCATAGGCCACGTCGATTTCGAAAAGATCTCTGGCATTCAGGGCATTTTCCTCATCAATCAGGTTAGCAATTGGGAAGATGTCGAAGAGAAAGGTAACGATGTGGCCAAGAAGGTCAAGACCAAGATCACCTTCGATGACGGAAGAACCTTTGAGACCGTTCGCGCTGGCGACAAGGATATACACCTCCACTCTGTGACTGAAATGAATAATGTCGGCCGAGTCTTCTCCAGTCCCGCACCCGGCCTCGTCATGGGCAACGGCAATACTGGTGACTATCTTGAGCCTTACTCGAAAGCAGATCTATACGTCTCCGATGACGCAGGCAGGACCTGGCTGAAGGGACTCGACGGTCCGCACAAGTACGAATTTGGAGACCAGGGTTCCATTCTCCTGGCCATCCCGGACAGCAAGGAAAATGACGTCTCAGAGATCAAGTACTCGCTCAATCACGGCAAAGAATGGTCCAAAGTCAAGCTGCCCAAGGACTTGAAGATCCGCCCCTGGATCCTTACCACTACTCAAGACTCGACCAGTCTGACCTTTATCCTTACAGCAGAGTCATCCGATTCCAAGTACCACATCATCCAGGTCGACTTTGAAGGTTTGCACGAGGACACCTGCAAGGAGTCCGACATGGAAGACTGGTTCGCCAGGAAGGACGATGACGGCAACCCAAGCTGTCTCATGGGCCATACCCAAAAGTATCACCGGCGCAAGAAGGATGCGGAATGTTTCATCAAGCAGGAGTTCAAAGACCCTGTGCCCATCTCTGAGCCCTGTGACTGCAGCGATGCTGACTTTGAGTGTGACTTCAACTTTGTCAGAAAGGATGGCAAGTGTGAGAAGGCAGGCCCAATCATCCCGCCTGCGGGCGCTTGCGAGAAGGGGGACCCAGATGAGACATTCAAAGGTACGAGTGGCTGGCGCTTGGTACCAGGAAACGATTGCAAACGCAAGAACGGTGCGCAGAAGGATGAGCCCAAGGAGTGGAAATGCTCAGATGCCATCATGGCTCCTGGAAGTGGCGAGGCGAGTGGCGATATCAATAGCACTCGTACTTCGCTCAAAGGTAATTTCGCATCATTTGATAAGCATTATCTCGAACACGGCGACTCGAGTTCCACAGCAGACGAGACTATCATCATGAGACCGGTGGGTCCCGGAGGTACAAGTGCTGGAGACATAATGATCACTCACGATCACGGCAAGTCGTGGACCACGCCTAAGCAACTGGAGGGCGAGAACATCTGGGCCATCTCGTCGCACCAGTACTACAAGGACATGGTCTTCTTCCTTACATCCAAAGGCAAGGTCATCTACACTGTCGACCGAGGACAGCATTTCTACTCGTTCAACACTCCTTACCCTCCAGACACGAGTCGGTTTGCTTCCCCGTGGTCCTTTCATCCCGACCAAAAAGACTGGCTCATTTTCCACGGCCAAAGCTGTGATGGCGGCGTTTGTCATGATATTGCCTCGGTATCTCGAGACCGTGGCGACAACTGGGAGACACTGTCGCGTTTCGTGTGGCGGTGCGAGTTTACGGGCTCTCAGGCCTACCGAGGATACGGGAGACCTGAAAAACAAGTCGTCTGTCTCCAGCGGGAGCGCGAGGACAATGAGAAGGAAAACCCACTCAACCTGATTTACACGGACGACTTCATTGAGGATAAGGGCAACATGAAGATCCTCCATCGCAACACTCGCGACTTTGCCACCATGGCCGAATTCATCGTCGTCGCCACGGAAAATCGTACGGCTGATACGCTGCACGCCTGGGCCAGTGTCAATGGACGTGACTACTCTCAGGCCCACTGGCCCTACAACTTTGAGGTCGACCATGAGCGACTCTACACTGTGTTGGACAGCTCGACGCATGCAGTGAACCTCTTTGTGGCGACCAAGGGCGAGACGGAAGACGACAAGTCACGCCGTTTTGGTTCCATCCTCAAGAGTAATTCGAATGGCACATCTTATGTGCTTAGCATCTCTGGAGTCAATTGCGACGAAAGTGGCTATGTGGATTTCGAAAAGATGCTTGGTATCCAGGGTGTCATCATGGTAAACACAGTGTCAAACCCCAGTGCCGTTACCGAGTCCAAGAAGCTTCAAACCAAGATCAGTCATAACGATGGTGCCGAATGGGCCTTCTTGCCGCCGCCCCAGAAAGACCTGGATGGAAAGTCGTTCTGCCAGAGCAAATCGGGCGACGAAAACTGCGCTCTCCACATCCACGGGTACACTGAACGGGCTGACCATGGCAAGACCTATTCCTCGGAGAGCGCCGTTGGCATCATGTTTGGCTGGGGCAATGTCGGTGCTTCGTTGGGTGACATCAAAGACGCCGATACTTACATGACGATTGATGCTGGCATCAGCTGGAAAATGGTCAAGAAGGGTCGCTGGAGCTGGTCGTTTGGCGATCAGGGATCCATCATTGTCCTGGCCCCGCGCGAGGGCCGGACCAAATCCGTCTCGTACACGACCGATGAGGGAGAGACATGGCAGGACTATACATTTTCCGATTCAGAGGTCACAATCACGGACATAACAACACTTCGCTCCGGCGCCTCTCGCAACTTTCTGTTGTGGGGTAATGATGGGGACAAGTTGTTCACTGTCAACTTGGATTTCTCTGGCTTGGCGGGTCGGCAGTGCATATACGACGAGAAAAACTCTGAGAAGTCAGACTACAACCTGTGGAGTCCAAAGCATCCGAAGCAGGCCAACGACTGTCTCTTTGGCCATAAGGCGCAGTACCTGCGGAAGAAGCCGGGACGTGATTGTTTCAATGGAGAGAAGCTGCAGCACCTCTGGGGCTTCAACAACTGCACCTGCACACGGCAGGACTACGAATGGCAAGTTTGCTTGGACCTTGACGGGCGGGGTACATCCAGTTGTATCGTGCTAACCAATTTTCTTCCACAGTGACTACAACTTTGAGTTGGACAAACATGGTCAGTGTCAGCTGGTACCAGGCTATCAGCCCATGTCTCTTGAGCAGTATTGCAGTGAAAACCCAAATGCAGACGAATACTATGAGCCTTCTGGATACCGCCGCATCCCTCTCACTACTTGTTCCGGCGAAGGTGCCAACGAGATGGACAAGACGAAAGCGGTTCACCCGTGCCCAGGCAAAGAGGAAGAATTCGAGCGCAAGCACTCGACATCGGGCGTCGCCATCTTCTTTGCGATTGTCATCCCCGTTGGTTTGGCGGGTGCTGTTGGCTGGTGGGTATGGCGCAACTGGAATGGCAAGTTTGGCCAGATCCGACTTGGTGACCAAGGTAGCACTTTTGACAGCGAGTCTCCGGTGGTCAAGTACCCGGTCATTGTCATCTCTGCCGTGGCAGCAGTGGTCGCAGCTCTGCCTCTGATCGCATCGAGCATATGGCGGAGCGCAACATCTGTTTTTGAAAGGTTCAGTGGCAGAGGAGGCTCGAGTTACAGCTGGCTCGGGAACGGCGGGCCCAGACGGTTCACCACACGCGACAGCTTTGCACGCGGAAGAGCCGACTACGCCATTGTCGACGAGGACGAAGGCGAATTACTTGGCGATGACAGCGATGAAGATATGTGAGTTGATCAATCTTTGGGTGAATGGTCCTTGTATAGAAGATGTCAATTTAATGCGTTCGGGTGGCAATGCTACAATCATGAGCCAGGAGGCAAGAGAGAAGGGGAGAAAGAAAGAAGGCGAAAAGGCATGATATCTGAGAATCCGAATTGGGAGATTGGGGTTTCTGCTTGACTGGCATAGTGTTCCGGCGCAGGTTAGATATAATCACTCGTGGCTTTATGCCTTTGTATCTCGATTTGATTTATATACCATGTATGACCAGTATCTAGTCACCGGATCTGACCAGCAAACATACATGATCTTGTCGTCATGAGAGGTTCAATGAGCAGCGCAGAAATGTAGATTATCAATATCTTGGGCTGGACAGGGAATGCAAATGCAGACTACTCGTTGACATTGAAGAGGTCTGATGGATAAGGGGCGCGCAATAATGAGTAAATGCTGCTTGCAGGAGTGGACGCGGGTTCATGCTGCCGCATGATGCCATGTTGTGTGTGTGTTGTACAGAGTAGAGTAGCTGCGGTGCTACGTCGGGTGGCCACGCTGTTACCGTCAAGGGCTCAGCCGGGGAATCCTTGGCTGACTGGTGTTGAACAATGCATTTTCCCTCCTGGTGTTGGAGCGGAAGAGGTTGATGATTACCTAGGTACGGCAATGGCCAAAAGGGGTGCTTTATAGACAACATCTACAATCCTATATTCGATCATACTTTTGATATACGGCTTGACATGTTTGAAACAAGGCGAGGCAGGAATAATTGATCGTTTTGCAAATCTAGGACCCCGAATATCAATGCCCAGGTATTAATTGGCCCTCCCGCAAGTTCCGGACTCGACGAAATAGCCAGCCCCCGATATGTGGTAGTTCTTCCCGAACCAGAACTGCATGCGTAGGCGAGGTGATTTGGACGTCGGAAACATGGCATATGCCTCTATATATTGTTTATTATTACTTCCTCCCCCCCCCCCCCTTCCTTTTGTGTGAACCTATAGGAACGCGTCGAATATGCGAGAGAAAAGATAAACAGAAGACCACGATTGGATATTGGTTGTTGCCGCCATGCAATCGGGGTTGTAGTGCAGGATAAATAGATCAATTCTACGAGTTGCAGTACATAGTAAATAGGTAATGCAGGTGGATATTGGCAGGCAAACAGTTGCCCATGTAACCGTGGGGGGGTTGCACAAGTGATATTATGTAGAAAATGGTAGTTTAGACATAATCCAACCTCGAGCATACCTACTCTTAGTATTGTGAGTGTCATGGTACAAAGTTTCCTATTTGCATATGCAAACTAAAATGCTTGGGGGGATGATGGCGGCAGAGGTATCTGGGGTGGGTTTTGGAGAAAGTGATTACAGAGAGAGAGAGAGCAATTTTTTTTTTTTACACTAAGCCTCCTCTTTAATGCCCACTCTTGCCCGCGTCTCCTGAAACATGCAGAGCTTACCACGCACTCACTCACTGCGCAACTAACGCCCCTGGATGCGGGCTCATGGGTCAAGAGAGAAAGAAGAGGGGTACAGTAGTAGGTACTATGCTGGGTGCAGGGAGTACGAAGGGGGGTTTGAAAAAAAAAAAGAAGAAAATGTGACAGGTCTAATTCGTAGACATGACGTGGAATGGGCGATTCATCATTCTGTACCGCGACCTTGGTATGACATTATAGTCAGATGGGTGGGTATTCGGTATAAAATGTTCAACTCTAGTGCCAATCTATACCTCTGGCAAGTGAACAAGAATAGACATGAGAGCCATGATTGGACAAGCCCAAAGTCTGCAAACTAAAGCATTTCAACAATAAGCATCATAACAATAATAATTAAATCCAAGGGAAGGCAACACAAGCTGAATGTTGTGTGTATTGTATTCTGTACATATAGTACGAGGGAGCACCACGACAGAGAATCCTCCCCAGTTGATGCAGGAGAGTAAGAAAGAAAATGGCGCCGAACCAGTGTGTTCACCAACATGTTATGCAACCCACTTTGTCCCATTCTCCGGCGACTAATGCGGGCTCAAACTGCAGAAACGGCGGAACGGTGGAGAAAGAAAGAGAGGAAAGTCTCAAAAAAAAAAAAAAAAAAATTACCGCTTCTCGGAACGCTGCCATCCCATGGTCTCCGAACTTCATGTATGCAGGCAAAAGGCTTTTTGTAGCTTGAGTCGTCTCACCCTGGGACAGGTTGTTGGTGGTAGCCGAAGCAGTTGGGGGCCGCCAGGGGTTAGTATAATCCCTTAAAAAAAAGAAAGAAAAAGGACTAAACTCGGTTGCACATGCAGCAATGCAAATACGCTAAAGCGTCTCCCAATCCAACGTACCTACACACAATGTTGCCGTATTGAATGGACAAGATAAGGAGAGTGACGAACCCAACACCCGTGGACGCATCTCAAGGCATCCGAGCCAGTCCATCTGCCGGGAACGGGAAGGGGAAAATAATTATCAAGCCAAAAAGGATCGAGGCACAGGAACACGCACAGCAACGCACAGAGGTCTGATCGTGGTTAGTTAAGCTTAGTTCTCTGAACAGCACGCCAACATTACTTTTTCTTTCTTTCTCTTTTGGTTCTGTGCGCTTCCGGGTGTGGGGGGGGGGGTGAATGGATGGCAGCACACGAGGGAGGAGTGGCACAGAACCAAAAGAGGGAAAAAAGAAAAAGAGAAGAAAAAGGCAGTGGATGGGACACATGGCACATCACTAGGTAGATTTCTGTAACAATACCCGAGCACTAGATAAATACTAATACTGTCTAAGTACGATTGGTGTATGTGTATTATGTGATCGTGGGTGGGGATCCGCTGGCTTGGCTGGCGGGCTCGCGTCATAGCGTAAGGGTGAGCGAGGCTATAGTAGAGGCCTACCAAGGTAAATCTTATCGACTGCAGTACGACTACGGACACATCTCTCTCGTGTTGGTTCTTATTCGGCTTCCCCTTCATTGGCTGGCCGACTGGTATGCATAGTTACTTTGCTGATCTTGCATTGGACCGCAGCTGAGTCGTGCCGCTGCTTGTCAAGTTTCGGCCAAGTCAACGCCTCTCTCTCTCTCCAGCTGATGCCTCAAGCTAACGTTCGTGCTTGCTGGGACGTGTATATGGGCATCCAATGCCATGACACCCACCACCCGGTCTAGCGAAGCTGGGTTACTGGGCCATGAAACAACTGGTTTGCACTGACAGCATGACATGATACGGGAGAGCACCTAGTCAGACAAGAAGTTCAGGTCTGCCAGTGCATGCCATGGGCAAAATTGGAAGGGATTCTCATTGATGTGACCCGTCCTATCAATTTCTCAGGAGCCGAGGTCATCTTTTTTTAGAGGTTTGCAACCAACCGAACTTGTTGCCTCTCATTATCCCTCACCCCTGAAACGAAACAATCTCCTCTTTGCAATGACGTCAAAGGTACACAAATTCCAATAAAGTCAAATGATATCTCCGCTACAATGAGTATAAGCTGATGGCGCCTCGGGCGAGCGATGTATGATACAGTAAAAGAAAATCGTCATGATGGAGATGCTCGTCGTAGTGTATAGATGGCGGCCGTGTCTTGATGCATGAGCGTGAGCTTGCAATCTGTATAAATCAAAAGATTCGCCTTGCTTGTTCTCCTCTTTTGTCTTCCCATGTCCTGCTACGGGGCAGCATCTTTTTTCTTTTTTTCTTTAGCTGCGCCGCACCTTGTTCCAAAATCGTTTGACCACGCCAGTATCCGCAGATGCAGTAGCTGCTGCCGCTGACGCCGCTGCCGCCTCTTCTTCCTCATCTAGGCTAGCAAAGAAAGCCTCGAGGCTCTCCTTGGATTTGCCCGTGTTGACGGCCGAGGCTTTCTTTGGGGGTGCATCCTCAAGACGAGGGGCCGTTCTCGCCATTTGCTGGGCAGATCTCTTCTGCCAGCCGTAAATTTCCTCCTCGCCAGCTCGCAGATCCGGTCTCGTCAGAGTCATACGCAACGTCATTTCCCTCGACGACGCCGGGATCTGTGCATAGCCATCCATCGGTGGGCGGAATGGAGGCTCCTTCGCATCCGTCGGGTTCTCCTCTTGTATATCAGCCTTGTCTGGACTATTAGGTGTCCTGGGCGATTCAGGGTCTGGTAAAGACTCTTCACTGTAGATGGATGATTGATCATCTGAGAAGAAGGTCTTGTGTCTTGATGAGTCTTGTGAGCGCAATCCCCGGGAATGGCCCCGTGATCCGTGCCGCTCATGGTCTGGTAGGTTTGCAATTGCATTCTTTGATGGAAACCCAAACTCAACAGCTTCATCGAATTTTTGGGGCGAAGCAAGGTAAACGCGCAGTTTTGCTCGGGCCTCTGGATCTTGGTAGTGCGCTGCGTCTGGATCAAAAGTTGGAATTGATTCCTCAAATACAGGTCGCGGGTTTATGAGGGACAGTGTTCGGGATCTGCGACGAACGGGAAAGGGAGGCTGAGAGGTCGGTGAACTTGTTGATGGCGATGCTGGCGTGTGCGTTCCGCTATTAGTCCCTGGGCGACTGGTTGAGATTGAAGACCGACCAAACGGAATCTTGTTTATTGAAAGGTGACGGCGGAAGGAGGGGCGATGCTCCGTCGAACGACGTGGTAAGCTCTCCTTCAGGTTGGCGTGGTAGTCGTCCAATTGCAAACTTAAATCCAAGTCGTCGTCACCCTCTAACCATCGGAAACTGTCATAGAAGCTGTCGCCGCGTTGAAGTCCTTGTTTAGGGGCGCTGGTATGGTCCGCCATCCTGCCCGATTCGATTCTCGTGCTGGGCTTGGATGAATTCAAAGTTGGCACGTAATTACTGGGTGGTTGCGGTGGGCGTCGATCCGAACGACGACCGATTTTATAAATGGCCTCGTCTGCGGCATCCAGGATAACACTTTCCCTCAGACACCTCGCCAAGGCTAGCTGTTCTGCTCTGCTTAGATGGCGGTGATGACCCGCAAGCGGAAGGTCTGTGTGGGAGGTCGGCGTTTTATAAACAGAAGTTGAGCTCTGCGACCGACTGATTGGACCTGTAGAGACAAGAGTCTCTGACCTCGAGTGAGTGTTTCTCTGAGACGTGTCGAAGTCACTGAAAGTGAAGCTTCTGGGCGATGGTCTAAATCCGTCGAGATCTGAGCTACTACTATCATTGAGGGCGCCAGATGACTGGGCAAACCTCAAACGCTCCAACGAGGAGAAGTACTAAAAACGAGGAAGGAATATGTTAGCCAAAGCCACATGAGAGAAGGGCACGGATACAATGACCCATGTGAAACAGGAAAAACAAAACATGTACAAAGACATGAGCGAGGAGAAAAGAGAGGATCAAGTGATGATGAAAAAAAAAAATCCAAAAAGAAAGAACAAGATGCTTGGTCAAATTTTTTCTATTTTTTTCTTCAGAAAAGACCGAACGCCATGGGCGTGTGAGACATGGGGAGGCTTGAGGCGCCGGCGTGGGACCGCATGCAATATTGGGAGCCCATAGCGTTAAGCCATCGGCGGTGGACTAGGTTCAAGAGGCATCAACTCCCGTAGACACGCAGCGCGGTGCCGTAACAGTGCAGGACTGCACATTGGTGACAGAACTATAGCTATGCAGGTCGAGCATGGGGGAGAGCGCATGCAACCCCGGAGCTGCGTAGGGATTCGGCTGGCAGTGGCCGAGGACTCGTTGCTGATCTGACCTGATGCGACCCAATTCATGCTGCTCCATGTGCCAAAGGAGCGGAGGTTGGGCTCAATGAGATGACATCTCCGTATCCATACTGTGAACCAGCCATCCAAGCCAGCCAAGGAGCAGCAGATCAAGCATCAATCACACCTCGCGTTGACGCAGGTCCAAGGAGAGACAACCAAAAGGGAAAACAAACAACGAAAAGTAAAAATTGCATAGCGCAGAAGAAGGAGGGCCACTGCGTATGATGCGGTAGCTTGGCATGCCACGGGAATTAGACTGCGCCAATGAGTTGATAGCTCCCGTATAAGTGGAGCTGATGATGAGACAAAGAACATTGCTCTACGTCTTTGACCATGATATATGCCCAAGTATCGAGGTAGCCGAATTCCTAGCCAGGGTACCGAAACAGCAAGCAACATTGAATGGTGGCAGAAAGTAAGGTTGTCCAATCAATGACGTGCAGAGAAGACACACACGCAGCACAGGAAAGACAGCGATAGACACTTTCTACTGCATACTTGACATATATGCTGGCGCCAATCTGGGTCTCTCGTGGGTGCAGGGATTTGGGGTGTGCATGTGGCCGCAGATTTGCCCAAGACGGGGCAACCTACAAGAAGGGGGATAAAAAGAAACAAGAGAATGAAAGACACTAGGAGATTTGGAAATGGTCAACTAACCTTGCGGCGTACGGCTAGTGGTAGTGTCTCGAACTCTTCGATTTCCTCTCGCGACAGTTGCTGCAGAGGTGGGCCAAGGATGTTGCTGCTGCTGCTGCTGTTGTTGTCTCTCTTGCCCGAGTATTTCCTTGACGATTTGGCGTTGCAGTCGCTCGTTTTTGGTCTGGCGGGGATCCAACGGCGCGTCGTAGGAGCAGTAGCAGTAGTAGTGCTGGTGCCGATAGATAACTTTGAAGCCGCTTCCGTGTCGCGCGAAACATCTGTGGCCAAGGACCGCTGGTCTACACCGGGTAGTCGACTTTGTTCGCGAAGGGTGTTATGATATTCGGCTGCCAGCTTGCTGCTACTGAGATGAGTGGGATTCGGCCACCTTACCGAACCCTCGCTGGCGACTCGAGATCGAGCGCGCGCTGGTGCCATTTTTGAAATGGGCGTCTGGAATTGTCCTCGTCCGGAATGTACCCAAGCACTTGGGTGATTGAAGAATCACAATGGCTGAATTCGAATTCTGGCACACAAATTTCGAGGTACCGACTGGCGGTCAACAGAGAAGCATGGTATGTATCCGTGTCAAGCTACGAACAATGTAGAAGACGGCACTGGGCCGAGATCGCCTTTGGGTTTTTTGCTTTCTTTTCTTGATCGACGAAGGGAAGAGGGGGAGAAAAAAAAAAAGGTCGCAAAGATGTACGAACGGAAGGCGGGACTGCGAAGATGTCATAGAAGACCGGAAGGGACGATATGATGCACAATTCATCTCTTATCGAGCGAACAACTACCACTGGGGGGGGGATCCAGTAGAAGTTCCAGTCGAAGCGCCGGCCATCGCTCATCACATCAAGCTCTTGAGTAACGAATGGCCAGTGGTGGACAGGGATTCCGAGCCTGCCACCGCTCTCGTGGAGATGGCTGACAATGGCGAGCATGGGTTTTCTAGAAGGACGAGGGTCACAAAGATTTGGGAACCCTGCCGCCAGTCGGCGGACCAGAGCAGGGCCATGCGTTGGGCCACTGGCTGCTGCGTGCGTGATTCTTCCCAGTAGTACAGTAGCCTAGCTGAAGCCCAGAAGCCTGGGTGCCTGGCGGCGACGTGGACCTTTGAAGGAGGAGGAGCAAAGGAGAGCTCTTCAACCCCCGGCCTTGGCCCTTGAGGACATCCCATGTTCAGGGACACGTTGGGCGATGGGACCAATCGTCTTCCAAGGATCCTGCAAGGAACAGGCACGCTAGCACATGTGTCAACGGCGGCTGTTGGCTCGTTCACACAGCGCTGAGCGCCCCGAGGACCCGGCGAAGTATGTGGAGTCTTACTGGCTGCCTGGTGGGGGTGTTCTCACCTGCTAGGGGGTCATGTACTAGTGTATATGTACACACATCACTTGGTAGGCGCCAAGATTGCCCCAGCTGTGGGGTTCCTCTTTCGTCCGTCCGTTGCCCCTTTCGGCTGCAACGCCCAGGGGCAGCAGCAGATGAGTAGATCCCCGTTCGGTAGCGATCGACACTCATCCACGCCAATTTGGCCAAGAGGCGATGATAATCTCATTCTGTCTCTTTTTGCCAACCACGACTCTTGCTGGCCGATGGTTTATTCTTCTTCTTTTTGTTGCTGCTCAGCTTTCGATACTTAAGTAGCTTGTTTCTTGGCTTTTGTCGTGATGATCGTTCCCTTTCCCCGCCCAGCAAAAGCCTCACATGCATAAAGTGCCGATCTGACCGACACATCAGCCTTTTTTTTAAAATTCACAGGGCCACAAAACTGAAGCTGTCAACTACCGAAGTACAATTCGTAGGTACACGGTATCAAAGATGGAAACCATGACGAATCTGCCCATCGATCGCACGTTGGCGTCATCACATTTACATTTTATTTTCCTTCTTCTCTTTGTGTAGTATTCTTTTTGATGCTGCGGCTCGCATGTGCAATACTCTATATGACAATGTTAATTCTTCAAAAATCTAGGCATGTCCATCTCATACAAGCGCCACCCATATTGACACATAAGCCCATTGCTGGATTCAGATATGTGCCGAGACTATTTCACGCCGACGAATGCCTTGGGCTCTTGGAAAAGCCTACGTACAAAGAAGTACGTACACGGTATCATAGACGCCAGTGGAGAGGGAAAAATTGATCAATCCCTGACTGCAAATCCCGTGGTCCCTTTACTGGCCATCTAATCTTATGCTTCCCGCCCGTCCATCGCTGGCCACGAGGGTCCTCCGTGGTCCACTTCCGTTGCGACTGGCGGCTTGCCATTCCCGGGCTGTCGGGTCGGTATTCTTGGGATAGCTCTCAACTAAAATGTTAGACCATTCCGTTTTGAAAATACCTTTTTTTATTCTCTTCTCTCTTTTCCTAGAAGAATGAACCAATGCATGTGTGTGTGTGTGAGCACAGTCAATGTCGACCGATGCTCACGTGGTGATCTGTGGCCTACGTTGGTACTTTCGGGTTACGAGAATCCCGGCGGAGTCGCGTCCTTTTTGTCATCCTCGTCGCAAGATGTGGATGTCTTTGGTGGGACAAGTTGCAAGGCAGAGAGGATGGATACTGTGTAATAATACTGCCAGCCCCTGCCGGCCCAGCATATCATATTTATTAGTGTAGTCTGTCGCCAGCTTCAAATACCATAAACCATCTCTTCCCCCCTGCGTTCAATTTCTCGCCTGCTCATTGTTCAGCAAAGCGCCATGCGACTTGATACCATTGCATGCTCTACTGACTGCACGGATAGTCGTTCCCGATTGCGAGATGAGAGTATCAAATGGTAAAGGAAGTATGGATGATAAATGGTGCACATTTGCATCGACTAGGATTCTGATAATCGTACGAGGTGGTTCAAGGGGAAATAACTAGTATTAGAGCATATGAACAAGAGGAAATGTGTTCCGGCACGACAACATCAACTTTGGCTTCCTTCACCCGGTTTGAATACATTAACAAGTTTAACACACTGAGCAAAAATGCTCAAACAACTTTGTCTCGTACTCCAAGAGCCATGAAGCCACTTGATGACACGGCTCCATCCAGTCCGTTATGTGTAATAGGTGCACACTATACTATGCACATACTCAAAAGATCCTATCGTCATCTCGTAGCACTCCACCCGATAGCAGACCCCCCTCTCAGCCAGCGCCGAGTCGTGCAGGTAGAAGCATGCTGCCCACCTGGCACAGATCATCCGCTTCCAATGAGCGAGTCCACAGGATCATAGTACTTGTAAATCTTGTTGCCGCCTTTGACGGCCGGGGCGTCGAATGTTGAAATGCCCGTCGTTCGGTCATATGATATCTTACTATTTGCCGGCTGCTTGCCCCCGCCTCCAGGTAGGTCGACGATGAACTTTGGCAGGTCAAAACCGGCAATAGATCCCATGAGCTGTTTCTCCATATCAAGTATCGTTTGCAGTGGCGTGCGAAAGTGTTCGGCCCTTTTCACCATGTCGCATTGGTAAACGTAATACTGCAAGGTCCATGTTAGTATTCAAGATCAAGACATGACAATTGTCTCCTCGAGGTAACCGAAACTTGACATACCGGCTGGATTCTTAATGTATCTGCCAAAGTGCGGATCAGTGTGCCCATGGTCTTGACATCGTCATTGACTCCCCTCAGCAGCACCGTTTGGTTACGAACTGTGACTCCCGCGTCCCGCAACCTACGGCTGGCCTTCTCAGTGATCCACGAGATTTCGTTTGGATGATTGAAGTGAGTGTGGAGAGCCATCCTCTTGCCAGCCTTCTCCGCCTGCTGACTGACGTATATGAGGGCATTGGTCCAATTATCCTTGGGATCGAGGAACCGGTTAGGGCTCACTGCGAGCCCTTTTGAGGCGAAGCGGAATTTCTTGATGTTGGGCATGCTAATCAGTTTTAACCCAATTTCAACAAGATGCTCTGGCCCAATGAAGAACGAGTCTCCGCCCGAAATGACAATGTCCTGGATTTCAGGTGTCTTTGCAATATGATCCAAACAAGCCTTCCATCGAGCCCTGCCCTGCTTGAAACGACCCTCCTTCTCGAGAGTAGTCGTGTCAGCGCCGACATCATACGATCTCGTGCAAAATGCACAATAGGTGGGACAAATTGATGTAGCTGAAAGGTTTGAATTAGCTGGAGCTATACAAAAGCCTATTGAGGGCAAACTTACCAAGGAAAAGAGCCTTGTCGGGATACCGGTGCACCAAGCCATCTACTTTGGAGTCAACTTTCTCGTGCAGAGAGTCGAGGTTGGCTTTGGGATGATCTGGAAGCATCATGGAACCAAGAGGCATGAATTGCCGGAATATGGGATCATTTCTAGGATCGTCCCAATTGATCCTACTGAAGATGTAAGGCCTGTGATTGAAATTCTACATTAGTTTCTGAATCATAGCGACCCGAACTCTCAACAGACGTATTTTCTAAGACTTACATCATGCGCACTGACATGGTGGAACAAGCAAGTCCAGCAAAAATGTCGTCAATGAACTCATCTCGGCTCTGCATTCGACCAGTGGCCTTGTCGACTGGGACTAAATCAGGAACCAGCCCACCGATCAGTTTCCTGAACTCATGAGGGTTTGATTTGCTGTGAAACTTGATGTCATTTCTCATCTGGACGCAAGTCAGTAATTGCTCTCGAGCGTGTTAGGCATGCGTGAAACTTGCACTCCATGAGTACGACATGAATTGTTCAGCCGATACATCTTTCCACATTGGAATCTTCCTCCAAAACTCATCTAGCTTTGGCTCAGGCTGTGGTTCCGATTTAATTTTACCCATGAATGGCGTGATAGGTTCGTCCAACTTGAATATTGGCATGGCCACTTCATGAGCATGTTTGGCAGATGAAGAAGAGATTCCTCTATTCGCAAGGCGCTGACCAACGCCTATGAAACTGGGCATTGATACAGATGGCTTCAACTCAGAGACCTGTAACTGGCTGAGAGTAGACAATGAAGACATGACCTGGCCCTTCCTCTGGGAGGATTGGCGGCCAAGTGCCGACAACTGTAACATTTTCTTTCCTGGCAACTCTACTAGGTTGGCTGTATTTCACAAACACGTCCTCAAGATGAAGAAAACTTTTTCTACGATGAACTTTATTAGAATAAGGCTATATGGACAGCCACCTGATACTTGATTCGACGGGAAAATCGATGACCAGAGGGTTTTCGGCACGTACCTCCAGTGGAAAAGCTATGCTTTGCGTAAGGGTCGGGCAGTCATATGATAGAGCTGCCAGATGAAAGTTCGTGACGGAAAAGCCTTGCTGACCATGACTTTAGCACCAATCATTGTTGACCGAACACGGACCGGGTCGACATTCGTCACTATTGAACACGTACCTCTTCTAATCACTGTCTCAAGGCAGAAAGTGGAATGATAGGTATACCGAAGGGAAGAATGAAAGATGTCTCCACCTGATCAGTAAGGCCGATGTAGAGAACAAGAAGATGGGTAAATAATTTGCAGATAGCTTTGAAGGACGGTGGACTATTCTCAATCTTTTTTGACTGTTAATAGTCGAAAAGGCAAGTATGCTCAAGTAGCAGTTGAAATTGGGCAGATAGTTTCTTCTTTATATAAGGAAAAACAAGGAGTTCCAGGAAATTGTTGGTAAGATGGCGTGGCGCATGAAGGTTCTCATTTGTATGATTATAACAAAATGATTTAGTACTTTTTATACTTCTTGGGGGCATGGTTGGACAAGTATAGAACCAACAACAACTCTAATGGGGTACTTAGGAAAATGACACCCATCGGAGTACAACAAGTACAAATTTTTGCCACAGCGACAGATGGATAAAGGGATTATTTGGGATTGTGAGGGTTGGCGCGATGCAATCTCTATACTGACCCGTTGTCTCAGTAATATGGTCGCCGAACCACACAATTGGGTCCCATCCCTTGCGCTTGTAATATTAAGAGCATGCTGACCACAGATAGAAATGTCCACATGACTTCCGGGGCTTGATCCGACAGACTGGATATCATGCTCCAATATCTTGGCAGGGGCGATTCATTGTACTTGATCCGATCATGCAGGATATGTCTAGACCATGGTTTGTCTCCAAAATTGGTCGCCCAAAACGTCACTATTCCCACGAGGCCTAGAGCTGGTGGTCAGAGGTCTGATCTGAACAAGTAGGTTTAGAGCTTGCCAAGGTCCTACAGTTTATCACCTGCTGCATCGCTCAGGTGTGCGTAAGAGCTGAAAAGAACCAAGGGACGAAACAGGTCAAGTTGGAGAAGGTGCAATTCTTGTAGATCATTTCTGCCCCCAGATTGTGCGTAAAGGACTGGCCTTCATGCATCCGCTGATGAGTGGCAAAGCACGGATCCATTGGAAAGGCTGATTTGTGATGATTTCATTCATAGATTCCAACACAACCTTAGCTTTGACTTGACGATACCTTGCAGTTTGGTACTGCTATCTATTCAGAACAAAAATCGAACTGGTATCGCCAAAGACAGTGGACTTTGTAATTTACCAAAGAAAAACGCTATAAAAAACACACGTGTCTGTTGCCTGTTGCTGATTTCACATGGGCAGAAACAAGGCAGATTGATGTTGACTGTGGCCAACGGTTGTGTTGAGGGTTCAGTTATGTCCAAGACTAATAAGGTATAAAATCCCCGAGCAGTGAATCTGATTGGGTACCGTGCAGATGGTTCATATTGCATCAGTTATGTACGTTACCTGGCTAGTGGATTTAGTTGTTACACAACAAATGTGACACAATATTCTCAGCCTGCAGGTATCCATCTGCTTGGACTTTTTCTTTTTCTTTTTTTTGGGCTTTGATTGGTGGTGAGTCTGAATTCCCTCGAGAGCGGGCTGCCCATTGATGCCAGCGTCTCTCATAGGCAAAGGTTTACCGATCCGACAGCTTACCAATGCCACTGGACCAAAGCTGTGCATTTGAGTACTATGTTTGCGGCCTCCAAAGAGCATAACGTCGAGACTGTAATCTTCAGCAATGTCATCAGCAACTGGCGAATTCTTTATGCAACCGTAATAATCCTCACGGTAGATTTCAAGGGAACAAATGCTGACGAACGCTCCCGAGGCCGGTGCTACAAGCCCGGCCTTGAACAGGACGTACCGTTATGCCACCACAATGAGCTGCATTGGGGCAGAATCTCGTCGACGGATGTGGCATCTGCAAGGCGAGATAGGAGCAGCACGTGCATGCGAGGAGGTGGTTTCAGGGACAAGGACCAGCCGGTGAGAAGTTGAGATGTTTCCTATGGGTCCATGCAACAAGGTGGAGATGCCCTATTGCAACCCCTGCCTACCTACTTATCTGCCTGCCTGCCGCGTTCATGATAATATACTGTGTATATTCCAGGGAAGTTCCTGGGTAGGAATATTGGCGTCCATAGCGGTCTGATCCATCGTGCCTCATCGGACCTCTTTGCCTAGTCGCTTTCCCCCTCCCAACCCTTCTCATGTACCCGCCATCATATCATGTAAGTATTCTCATGTAGGCACGATGTTTCTTTCGTGGGCCATTGGTAGATATGTCAACCACACATGACACAGTAGAAGAGCAAGCATGATATACTTCACTCGTTGTGTGATTGTACTTTCTAGCAGCCCCATATCGCTGCATGGTTCTTTTGTTTGCTAGCAATCCTTCTGTCCTGGTCTTGCCAGCAACCCGCTGACTCGGCTAAGCACCGAACGCAGATGGTGATCCTATTGGGATAATCAAAAATAGCACCTCTCATCCGTGGAGGAGCTTGAATCCATGTATCTTTTCTTACTGCCCACACAAGTTTGGGAATAACACCAAGGTGATGAAAAACCATGTAATTTGACACAGAACCGAGCCGTGGGTTGGTAGAAACCGAAGAGTAAAAAGCTGCCTCCCCAAGTACCTACTGTCTTGACTCAACAACAAATTGAGGCGATATCATCGCTGCGGATTTTCCACATCGGGGGATCATTTTCATGTCATTCAGTCGGACGTCCATCAACTCAGACATATTTGGCACCAGACACAGCGCGGTATAGTGCCAAGAACAGACAGCCATACAACTAGCTTTCGTGGTATGACTTAATTCCCTGTGATGCATGATTCGAAGAGTCGATGCCAGCTTTGCAAAGTAAATGGCTCAGCTGAGGGGCCATCATCTGCGGCCCGTATTCCGCAAATCAGCCAATGGATGTTGGAGCGTTGTCTGTAACGTACTTGTCATCTACGGCATGTTTGCAAGAAGATCCATTCACATTCATCCAGGTTCAAGAGAGGGCCATGTGCAATCTGCAAAACTTGGCGATTAGCCAGGGGAAGGGAGAAAAAAAAAAAAAAGACTCCGACGGACTGCCAAGGCATGGCTCAAATGCTACAATGTCATGTTACAAACATGGATGCATTCAGTTTCTTGGCGCACATGAGATTCGCCTAACGCGGCTGGAGTTTTGGCTGGAGGTTTTGATAGGCGCAGACGCGGGCGAGCAGAACAAACATCCAACACACACTCCCACACAATTCAGTCTGCAGTTTAATTGGACACACACGCGAGCTGCCGCAGCCGACTCAGCTGCCCAGTGGCACGTTGTCCAATCACCGATGGCTTAGTACCTGTATTTAAAGTGTTGGTGCCATTAAGGCGGCAAGAACATCAGAATTCCCGATCCGAAATGTACGGGCCGGTCAAAGCGTCAAGTTCTCGTCGACCGTGCCGCATTTGCGATGCCGATCAGACACTGTCTGTATGTATCTTTGAGGTATACATACCATCACCTAAGGTGGTGACGAGGAATAGTGCCTCGGCCTTGGTTGGTACTCCCGAGAAATTTGAGTACCGTCTCTGGAGAGAAGTAACATACACAGCACATTACTGATGAATGGTCCATAGGGGAGCAAGCTGTGACGTTTGAGTTTGTGTCAAACCATCGAGTACATCTTGAGTACCTTGATCTGCCCAATCATTCATTTCCCAAAAAGAACAAGGCTGTTTTATCAATCCTCGTTTATCATTAGATTGCCGTCTAGACAGCTTGGTATATCGGGTTGCAACTATTTCGGCACACGCCGGAGCCGCCGCTAAAACTATGCGGCAACATCGACGTGGCTTGCAAGCAGATGTGAAAATGTTTGAAATGCAGTGTAGACTTGGTCAGGCAACCCCCTTAGCCTGCTCCAAAAAAAGAGTTTTCTTACGATCCAGAGCGGTAGATGTAAATATTAGCCACACCAACAGACGGACCGGCTTGTGACACAAACACATCGGATCCACGGGAGACAGTTTGGCAGACCATCTCGGTTGCTTTTTGATCATTTTGCCCAATTTGTTTCATAGCAGCGAGACTTCTTGCACTGCACAAATGGTCTTTACCTTGGATACGGAAGAACAGCGTATAAGCGGCCCCTGTTTTGTAGACCTGCACGCTTGTCTAGGTATCTTCCCTCGCATCGTATTCCACCAGCCTTGCCCGGTCATTACCCGACCGTGGCTTGGAATACGGATATGGACGTCATGACATCTTGCGGCTCAGGTGCGGACGGAAAGCAATGCATCAATTGCGTGGACGTCTTACTCCAGAGCCCTACACGCACATGTCAATCAACAGATCATACCTTTTCGAGTGGGGAAGGAGAGGATGAGGAAAAGGCCATAAATCAAGAAGGATTGCGCAAAGCTCAACGTACCCGAGATAGTCTTCCTTGATACTGCCAATGGCCCACAGCTCGCCGACCTCAGCTCGGGTACCCAACAGCTTGACACGCACGTGCGTTCCCACCCTGATGTGCAAGTCGTCGCCGTTGGTGAACTCGGGGGGCGTAGCATTGGGGTCCCACTTTGTATCGCTTGGAATCAACTAGAAAGGCTGCGTCAGTCTTGATGTAATCCCAAGACCACGAACCATGGTTTCGCTTACATGCGAGCTAACAAAGATCCTTAGAGGACCAGCTTCGGCGAAGAAGCCATGCTGGTTCACAGAGACAACGATAGCATCGATCTGAGGGTTGGTCAGTCAAAGAAGTTCCTTCAACCCGAGACCGATCAGACTGTCTTCATACCGTCTCACCCTTGAAGGGTCGCCAAACAACCGCCTTGTACCTCACAGTGAACTCGGCAAGCCCACTACCTGGCAGAATCCGGCCTTCGGAGATGTCAAAGGTGTCCATGATGGTAATAATATAGTAGCTTCCGGTACAGGTACCCTCGACGTCATTCAGCAACTTGCCCGTGACAAGCTCATGCATGTTCTTGCCAAAGTAGGACGGATGCAGCGTCACGCGCCGCTCGAGGGTATAGAGGAAGAACATGGTGTGAGTATATGGGTTGGCGTTGGTTTCTGCGCAATGTACGCGAGCGGCACGGTGAACGGTGTTGGTTCTGTTTAGGAGGTCAAAATGTTTGTCGGGGTCGAGTCTGGCGCCTCCTCCTGCTTCTGTCGATGAGCGAGCGAGTGATGGAAATGCGACGTCGGGGACGAGGGGAGCTCGCTCGAGTCTAGCCGGTTGAACAGGGATGCAAAGTCGGTTGAACGGTGAAGTGATGGCCGGGCACCTATTCCTTGCAGTGTTGTGATTGATGGGCAAGTGTGCGTTGATCTGCGAATCGCGCAGTCGGTCGACAAAGAAAAGAGCACCTGGCGCTCAGCGAACTATGGGTATCATCTAGAAATGTTGGCGACAAAAGACAATGAGGGCGGGCACACAAGATGCTAGAAAATTAACGGACAAGGGAGTCGGAAAAGCACCAAGAAATTGACTGCCGACCAAGGGGTTGTCGGGTTGATGCTCGTTGGTTTACGCGACTCGTCCCCAAGCAGTTGCGCAAGAAATGGATGGAAAGCGTTTTGGTGATAAAATGATTGATGAGCGATGGGAATGCAAAGAGTAGGTAGGTATGGTTGGTTGGTTGGTCGGTCGGTACGTACATTACACTTGGGTTAGCTGAACGCGACCAGGCTGAACTAGAGCCTCACCACTCGCACGTTTCTCTGTCCGAAACCTGGAGGGCGAGGCGAGTCGGGTGCCTGTAATGTAGTATGTATATGGTCAAAGCGCCTGTGTGCCCATTGATCACCCCACCAATATTCAAGGCTCAATCGAGCTAGCCGGCTAATCTGCGGGCTAGAACCTGCTTACCTAGAATTTAGCAATTGCACCTTCTTGTAAATACCTTGATTCCAAGTGTTTATAAAGTATTCTTTGCCTTGATATGCAAGGAGAAGCTGCTGCTCAACAGTCCTCACATGGCGACCATTGATACCTCATGACTTTGAGTCAAGCACTTAATAAGGCGGATGTTGCCAAATGTACCTGCCCAAGGCCTGCTACCTACGTACTTGATAAGGTAGCATAGTCTAAAAGTTAGGTGTATGCACAGGATCACCATCTTCATAGGTAGGTGCCTTGCGGAATTGGTTGTTGGTTACAATGCCCGAAGGATTCCCCGTCTATTTTGATACTCAAGTCACCTTATAAGTAAGATATATATCACCATGGTTCACTGGTACTCTGTAGTAAATTATCTGGTGTAAACTTCAATAGTCACAAGAGCAGCCATCTAGGACCGCAGGGAAAATAGCATCATTAATGTTGCGATGCTCAGCGACATGTGCAAAAACTATTCAGCCATAGCAGTTGCCGAGGGTTCGGATGCCGAAGGAAGGTCAGGAGTGACTGAATCCGGCGCCTCAATCAACACGGGGGCTGCTCGTAGTTAGCAGAGCGACCGTGGTTTACGCAATACATTACTACTACTAATGTAGGTACATGGATAGCTAGGTTGTATCAAAAGTTTTGACGACAATATATCGTAGTTCTTGAAGTAATGAGCCCTTTACTTTGAATGTCCTCTTCTCTTCGTCAGAGACAGTTTATTTCTTCTCCCGGAAATATCTTCAAGAGCTTGTATGAAAGATGATTTTATTGGCACAGTCATCTGGCCACAACTGGAGCACGCATACATCAATGAATACCTACCTAACCTAGTAGATCCGTACACCAAGGATCCATGGGACGGGTCGGATTTGATATGAGGCTGCTATTGTCTGCTGATTCCCCACCACGAACCGTTGGAAACCATCCCCCCCCCCGGGGAAGACAGCCGAAAAACGCTGCTCAGTGCCCCAACCTGGCCATGATGCTACGTAAAAGTAAGTAAGATGGTCACCTAAAAAGTTTAGCGACGGACAGCGGAACGCCACGGCGGCATGCAAAAGCAGCTCTGCTTTAGCAACCGCAATCGCACCGCAACTTATTGGATGCGGCCAGCAGAGATAAACCTCACCGCACACCTATTCCTTTCGACCTTGTATTCATCGACCTGCCTGCCGACCTAATCACATTACCTTGCCTGCATTTACCAACCCACCACCTATCCGTTCCCTCTCCCTCTGCTTCCGCCGAAAGGCTGCTGCATACACCTCTTCATTCGTCTTGAAACTCGACTCTTTCTCCCCGCTGCTGCGCTCCGGCCTTCACTTTCTACACCATGTCTCTAAACTTGGAAAAGCAGCTCACCTTTGTAAGTTGCTGGCCTCATGCTCGCTTCCTCGTCTTGTCTTGTCTTGCCTTGTCTACTAGTCTGCACGTGTCCGAAGCTGTATAATGTCCCGATCTTTTTTGTAGCTGCTGCGACTGCTGACACAGCACCCAAATCCAGTACGGCGCATATCACCACAATGCCCTCAATGTCGCAATTCACATGACATGTGTGCCTCTGATTCTGATCTCGGGCTTTTGCATGGTAAGTTGTCCGCCTACATCGAATGAGGGGCATATCGAAAGCCGCCGCCGCTCCCATCCAGTGCTGAGCATACATCTTTTTCCAGGCAGCCAATACCGGTACTCTCATCCCGCTTCCAGATGCCCTGACGGTCCCGTACCTCGACCTGAACCTTGGCACCATTGCTGCTCTGGCGTATGCGATTCTCTACATATTACTCGAACCCGTGGCTGGAACTGCTCTCGGTGCACTCTGCCTGGGCGCAACAGCCTTTGCCAACAAGGCCCTGCTCGAGAACCCAACCCAGACTAATCAGATTGCCATTGCGACACACATAATCAGCTGGTTGCTTCAGTTCGTCGGGCATGGAGTTTTCGAGGGTCGCGCTCCTGCCTTGTTGGACAATATCGTGCAGGCTTTGTTCCTGGCTCCCCTCTTCGTCTGGCTTGAGCTTCTCTTCAAATTCGGATACCGTCGCGAGCTCCAGAGCCGGGTTGACAAGGCCGTGCAGGTTGAAATTGCCAAATTCAGAGCACAAAAGGCGCTGAAGAACGGGAAAGCCCAGTAGATGGCGTGTCCCACACAAGCTCCCTTGAGCTGCTTTGCGCGAGATGATATATTGAAAAGCGCAGTGCCCTAAAATAGAGGACACGGAAAAGCGAGGCATGGCGCCGAAAGCTGGTGATGGCTTATGAGGTGGAAGTTGGAGCTCACATGGCCAAGGCATGACGAGTGCAAAGAACTTGTAAGGCAAGAGGCTAGGGATTCATCAAAGTGAGAGACTGACCTGTTGTAGGAGTATGCCATCTCGAAGATATAGAGCAGGACGCATCGTGTTATTTTGGTTACTCATGATACCCATAAATTTGACTTTATACTATTTTTTCCCATTGCAATCGACAATACATTATTTCCAGCATGCAAGGACTGCAAAGAAGGGGTTGCTCAGTTCATCTCATACTCCTGGAGGCAGGTAGATGAGAAGTGCATCACGGGAATATCACGAATTATTTTGACCAAATTCTTTCTCTTTCCTCCCTGTGTGTACAGTACGGCAATTATATACTGGTGACATGTCCAACAAGCCTGCTCACCTTCATATCCACAGACCACGACGAGATATATACTTCACCTGAGAACAAACAAACCTTACTCTGCGTCTTCTACGTTGATTCAACGCCTTGCGGCTCTAGCTTCAATTCTGCGAGCGGCTTCACAAGCAAATGACACATCCGAATCCGCTTCCCCGCCGGCGTGGTGGCTTGATCCCAAGCCGAGCGACGCGAGCAATGTCTGCTTTGTCGTGGCCTGTGGCGTTTTTCGCGAAGAATTGGGCAGCGGGCGCTGGTTTAGGGCATGCAATCTCTCGACTTCCTTGTGTGCTTGCAGATACGTCTCGAATATGGGTCTTGGCAGTTGTCGTGATGCGACACTTGTGGGAAACGGTCGACCTCTCACAGGCAGCGAATCTTCATGGTCATATCCCTGATCGCGTTGAGGAAGCCTGCCAGTATGCCGCAGACTCTGAGCCTTCCAAGTCGGAAGTGGCTTCGCTGGCTTCCGAATTGATCTTGGGGACCCGTCCGAGACCCCTGCGATTTGGCTGCTGCCTTCTTTCTGTCCTTTCATGAGTCGCCCCGTAGACGTCTGAACCCTACTACTTACATTTCTGCTGGACTGACCCGAAGTGGCGCGAGACGCGAAGGGCCTACCTTGGGAAAAACTCCGGGATCTTTCAGCTCTGGAGGGTGCTCTCGGAGGCGCCACTGGCGGCGCCGGAGCACTTGCCCGGGCATAATTTGCCGTCGCTGTTACCGTCCGAGGATGGTGATAGTAATCAGGAACCCAGACAGAAGTCTGCGAAGAAATATTCACATGGTGCCCGTAGCCTTTGGGCTTCAGAGTGCCCTTTTGAGCCTCTCTTAGTGATTCTCTGGCCGCACAGAGCCGCTCCTGTCGGAAGCTCTCATCAACAAGGGGCCGGTGAACAAGGCTGGCTCCATTGCCTACTCGCTGGCTGAGCAAGCCGTCAGTTTTGACCAAGCAATTGTCACAGTTGCGGTGAGACGCTGGCCTCTCTCGACGTACAGCTCCGCAGTGCTTCATACCCTTGTAGGAGCCAAGGAACTTGTTACGGCGTGAAGATTTCTTCTTTTGAAGACTGGGACACCAAGTGAGCTGCTCCTCGTAGTGCCCACAGGCATATGTTATCTTGAGCTCAATGCACATCTTTTGGTTCTTTGTCGTTGTGGTTCTGATAGGTACGATAGAGCCCAAGACCTAGATAACCTTGCGCTTTGCTGATCTACAGCTTAGAAATAATAGATGGTACTTTCTTTTCTGGAATTAGTCTTATACATGCAGCCACCCGAAACTCGGTCAGGGATGCTAGATATATAGGGACTTTCTGCTCATTGTCACAAACAAGAGAATGGTTCACATTGGACTAACAATGTTTTGTTCTACTACAAACAATCTTGTCAAACAATTTTGTCTCTCTGTGAACAATGAGATACGTTTTTAACGAATTTTCCCTTCTTGAAATTGCTTCGTTCCAGGCCCGGAGTGACCGAAGGGGGATTCATTGAATCATGTTTCTTTGAGCACCCATGACAAACAAGTACAATTCAAGGAGACAAAGATTCTTAAGCGAGGCTATATAACCTGCCTCTTCAGCCGCAACCACGCTAAATCTGTTCTGGAATCCGAGGACCAAGTCACTGAAGGCCTTTGAAGTGGTCTAGATGCAACGAACAGAATACTAAACACAACAGCACGTTAAAGTACGGTTTGAGTCATGTTTGACAGTATTCGGCGGCTTTTCCGAAAGTCGTCGCCAAGGGCCGAGCGAGATGCTCAGCGGATAAGGCGTCAGCTCGCGAGGTGCGCGTGTGGTCATGATGAAGCCGAGGTTCAGGCGTACCCAGTACGCTACGAATACGTGCTGATTCCCGCCCCAGTGCTGGCCTACCCAGCCTCGCGACATGACGTGAGACGTTTGTCTGGCGGTAGGAAATCCGCCGACGAGAGTTCATGGGCAGAACACAGCAAGATGAAGGAAGCGGTGCAGATTTCCAAGGTGGAGGTGTGCTCCGAGGCCGAAGACAACGTCGACGTTGGATCCCGCACCCGGGCACCCACTGGCGACTCGGGGTATTTTTCCTTGGGTCCAAAAAATGAATCATCGCGGCGTCCAAAGAGGCAGACCGCCGCTAAGCACGTGGTATCTGACCAGGCGGCCGGCGGTGGCGAGTATGACATAGGTGAGTCAGACTATTTGCATTGGGGAGATGGATCATGGGCCAAAGGCAACAACGACGTTGATTTTATGAGGCATCACAAAGTAGATGTGATGGATAGTGGTGAGATTGATTCGGTTATCGAGACATGGCTGAACGATCTCGTTGGTCGATCACCAGCGCTGGAGTTTCCGCGAGTGTGGAAGAAAGAGCCCTCTTTCCGAGATTGGGATGATATCTTGAATCGAGGAATCGATGATGGTCACCCATCACGGATCGCAGCCACGAGGCGTCTTGGAGGTACGTCCCCTGACTTTATGGATGAATCCTGGGTAGAAGGGTAAGATGCGTCAAGTGACAAGCCTCCTTTCCCAATATCCCTATCCTTTGGAATCGTCATTTTACAGAGTCATGCGTGCATTATTCTCCAGGTGGTGTCAGTGAATTTTCCATATTCTTTGTGCGGCCAAGTCATCAATGCTTTGCAAGGTAAGAACAACCTGTATAGATGCGCACCGCAAGAAAAAAAAAAATTGCTTTAACAAGAAAAATCAAAATAGATTTGGATTGACGGGCATGGCAAATTTTGATAAAGTTGGCAAGTAAATTCCTGTACTCCCTCTTACGACATATGTCCTTTCGAAAAACGAACCTCGCGAATTTAATGGTAATATAATTCACGATGGATTTGTCATGAGGCCTTCGTAAGCGGGTATTGGCCCGTCGTCTGTTTTGGTTCAAAATTGATCGTTGAACTTACATCAACACGCGGTAGGCCAAATTCATGGCCGAGAGCTCACAAACTTCTACGTCGTGAATTTTGCTGACCATTTTCCAGTTGCCGTTCTTCAGTAACATGATGGTGATTTCATATTCAAACGCCAAATCAAGTCCTGAGGATTTTTTCTCCCTCAAAACTTTGGTTTCTGACGTGAACAAAGTGACTTTAAAAAGGTTAACCGCAGTATGCGATGATAAAAAACTTCTGTGCACCTATAAAAGAGGCGACTTGAGCGCTGCATATGCAAAGATCATTGAGAGCACGTTTAATGGTGATTGGCAGCCATGATACTCATCATTTTCTCTCATTATGCAGAATGACCGTAAATAGCCTCAACCGAGGTTGCAATGTAGACAGAACCTTTGACCTTGCCCACCAAGCATTATTACCGCATCATTGGATTACTGAGTAAAGAGATGGCTCAGGTTACTATGTGACATCATGGCTAGAGCCTGCTGTCTTTTGCCTATGTAGGTACCGTCAAGTCCTACCTTTTCCATCTAGTAGGTCTGGCCAAGGAAAATGACTTGCCTTGGTATACGGGTAGACAGATTTGTACTCGTGCAGCTGACAAAGTCTCTTTCCAAATAAGCGATTACATTGATATCGTAATTGGCACTATTTATTTCTTGTCGTCCGGCATCATGGACCCGATGCCAACACATAGTTGTTGCGCAAGACATTGGGGCGAGAGAGGCTGCTTTACCTTTGTACAACTTGCCTCTTCGAAACTTTGATGGTATACTTTTTTTGTGGATTCGCTGTTTTCAGCTCGTGCAATTTTGGCATCCAACAACAATACTCTGTACTTGATTCTTAGACATGCATTGAGTCAATGCTGGCACTTACAAAGGCTGCATATCTATGCCATGGACACCAAATGTAACACTTGGCCAGTCTGGAGACCCGTAATGTGGCCATGGTAGATTTAAAAAAAAAAAAAAAAAAAAAAAAAAGGGGAAAGTATCATTGACGTTTTTCCAGCCGCAACAGCCGCAAGCCTAGCTGAAAAAGCAGAGAAGAATAAAGAATCAATGCCAGAATTATTGTCATTGGCCAAGCCTACAGCCTTCAATGAAGATTGGCTGAAAAGAAAAGCAAGATCGCTGCCGTTGCAGTGGAATGATGTAAGTCTCTATGTATATACGTACCTCAGCTATGTACGTTCAAGCATGCATACAACGGCACGGACCCCTCTAATGTGCTTCCCGGGGGACAGGCGGCCATTCCCCGCGATTGGCCACTTCTTTCTTGGGGGGTTCGATGCTCTCGTTTCAACCTCTTCTTGACACAACTCTGAAATCAACACAGGGTCTTCAGGGGAGTCTCTCTCTCCATTTTCTCCCTCTCCTGCCTTGCTTCGATCTAAACCCCGAGCAGATCCGCAATGACAGCTGACTGTGTACCTTTCTGTGCTCTCCACCAGCCGGTCGTGTCGCTTCTTCTAGATCTGACCCGGCGAGCAGCGCGTCTATCGATCGAGACGTGCTTCAAGGCTGAAGGAATAGACGCAGCAGAGCGCCGCCCCAGGTCCATCCCCAGCCACGGTCCCCATTCACCGGCTGCATGCCGATTGCCTCTCTGACCAGCGCACATTCTCGCTTGGTCTGCTCCTAACCTTTACCGGTCGCGCGGCAGGCCATGGCTGGCTCCTATGTCGCTTTCTTTTTTTTTTTTTTTTTCATATTAAAACGCCGCTGCATAGACGAGGGAAATTTTGCAGAACGAACAAAGCGAGGATACTCAAGGCTTTTTGCTGACAGGCGGGTACGTCTATTCCGTACTTGACGCTCGGGTTTCCTTCAAAGGTTAGTAGGGGGGAAAGCCGCAATGTGCATACAGAGTACATACATACATACATGGTCACCATCAAACATTGGCAGCACATAGCTGCTTGGATCTAATGACACTCCATTGTCAAGCTTGTGGCAAGTTTCTTTTCTTTATTTTTGTTCTTGTTTTTCCCGTCATGCATCTATCTTCATGGGGCCATGGTCTGAGCTCTTTAACTATATTCTGCTGGGTCTGAAGACCATCAGATTTCAAAGTAAGCATTATGGCACAGCTAGCCCATTTGATCCTCGCTCTCCATGTGTCATGGTAAGCTAGCTCTACAGCGGATAGCTGTGCCAGGGTACCTAGACAGGACAACCTTATGGAAACTCCCAGACATCAACCCGTCGTCCGATCATCAAGCACAGCAAGCAAACTGGGGAAAAAAAAAAAAAAAAAAAAGACCTTGTAGGGCGCACGACTGGGCCACATATGCGGGAATCTTACACGGACCACCAGAATTATATGTCCCATGTAGATAGGTAGGAAATCACCTCGCCTACATTGGGAGGGAAGTGGGTAGAGGGTGCAAGGGAAAGAAAAAGACCGCAGAGCAGCTACCGCCTCGGGGCAGTGAAGCGATCCATTCATTTCTTGAGGAACTCGAAACGGAAGCAACAAAACAATGCGGCTCTTACGCACAGACGATCAAGTCGCCCTGCCACCGTCTGAGATGAAAAAAAGACCAGACAAATCATCTTCTTCATGTCGCCCGCTGCAGTCTCCCACAGACTTCCCCCGCGCCCTCCACGACGCGTGGGCCGTGATATTCGTTTGAGTGCCCGTCTACCAAGTCACCGCCTGCCCTGCGCCCGCAGATCCCATCCACTACGACCTCGCGTGGCTCTTGATGCATGGATGCCGCGCAGATGCGGATGGACGATGACACAGCCTCCCGCAATGCTTTGCAGCGAGGATCGAGGTACGTGGGACCATGACACACAACGATGCGCGCAATATTACCTGCCCGCAGACATCAAAACATCTTGACTACCTGATGCGAGAAAGAGAATCAAGACGGCGACTCACAACCTCGGATGGGTGGGGCTACTTTGGGCTTTTTGCAATGCTCTCCGCGCCTGCGGCGCCGGTCTTGTGAAAACTTGGGACGAATACATGCAGGCAAATCAAAGAGGAGATGGCGCCGGCGCGATCGACTATGCCACGACTATGCCACGCCTTTGCTTCAGTGGAGAGGGAGGGGGTTAAGACACCCCCTCCTTCAAACTACTACGAGGTATCTCTCTTTCTGGGTTGTCTGGTCTGGACCCTTGCCTGGTATGTCTATCACAGTAGGCATCATCCGGAAAAGCTTCTCTCTCCTCTCGGCTGCGTCTAATAGCCCTCCTTATCTATCTTTTGGGTCGAGACCTTGAGACCTGCCAGCAGGTGAGGGGTCGAGATCATGTTGGCTCCTCTCCAGCGGAGGTGACGCTGAGCGGACGTGAGGATGACGCGAAGAGCCTTGAACGTATCGTGGGCCATCTCGGCAACTTTGCCCGTATCTCTCGCTCGGAGGTAAGATGATCGCATACCAGCTCGCGACATCGGATGGATCAGATGTGCCACGAATGTGACTTGTTTAGATTGGGCACCAGAACTAGACCTGCAGCATTCGGCCCCTCGCTGTCTATGAGGTTAAACACCCTCTCCGGGTCATTGGCAAGACACGTTGCGCCATAGCTATAGCGTCGCTTTGCTATAGCCACACACATACGAAGAGACGCACACAAGTGCCATGGAAAGCGGCAAAGGCAGACCTGGCGATGCAAAAAGTTGCTCCGCAGCGGCCTGTTATCACCCATCCCTTGCCTGGAAGCGGAAGCGGTCGCAGCTAGTGGACCAAGGACGTTGCTCACGATTCGCTGCAGAGAGCCCGGCCAGACAGACGATTCAATGATGATCCCTAACCTCTGGGTGCGTCAATTTGTCCGCTGCTTCGAGAGACAAGCTGGGTTATGTGGTTTACCTGGGTACTCGCTGGTTCAACTAGCACCGTCTATCCCTCCTGACCAGACATCACGCGGACCTGAATTCAAGAAATGGTGTGTGGTATATCACGTCTGTAATATTGAATAGTGCAGCTCTTGCTCACCAGAAAGAATACCGGTTACTCGTAGCCTATCCATTCGCCCTTGCTAAAAGGACCGTTCCTTCAGTGCGTGTGGCAAACTTCCCCCTGTGGTGTGGTGCTATGGAACAAAAAAAAAAAAAAGATGACAATCGAGGATTGGCGTCCAGTGCCTCCCATCCATCCATCCATCCATCCAGACTATCCTAACGTCCCTGAACGAACTTCCTACAAAATGCTAAACCAATGTGGTAATTCCCGCGAATTAATCATTGCCGGTTTTTTTCGGACCCCCTTTGCGCCTTGCCAAAATCATAACAGTAAAATAGAGAAAGAAAAGAAAAGGGGCAAGAAACCGCGGGATTAAGGAAAAAAAAAATGCCGCTAAGTCAATGCTGTTATACCTGGCCCAGGAAATGCCGATAAATCGTCACGCTTCCTGGTTCGTTCGATTCTTCCCCGTCCCTGCTGCCCCATTCGCATGTCAGGGATAGTGTCATCCCCGGATTCGCAGGCTGCCGCCATGATTTGCGCACATCGTCAGAGAACGGCCCTTGGGTGAGCATCCTCCAGAAAGCGTCGATGTATGAATGCGTCGGTAGGCTGCCATCGGCTGGGGACGACAGCCACCCGCAATTCACCTCATCGAAGACAAAGGT